AATGTGGTGAAAGAAAATATTTTTTTAGATAATAGCCTAAACTTGGAGAGTTGTGAGATGGAAGATATAGGCTAGCCCTATATGCTAGTTTCTTAAAATAAAGAAAAATGTCTGTTAGCACACATGTGAAAAATGACACTCCTGCAGTAAATGGTTTAACATTATGTAAACAATCGAATAGGCTAATAAATGCAATACTCTTTTGATGCTATGCCTATGTCGTATATAACGCATTAATCATTCCTTATTCTTATTTTCCATTATTTTAGAATATCAAAGCTATGACATAACACAACTGGTTATGATAATTAGTAAAGAAAAATATTAAACAAATCAAAACACTAGCTACTTGAGCTTCTTTGACAGCTCTGCACACTCTGAACATTCTCTCTCAACCAACTCCATATGCATCCTTGGATGATTTTTATGATCAATATGTAGGCAGACTTCATATTTTTCTTTAATTGTAGCCTATTTCTTTGTGAGACTGAGATAGCAGATGCCAGTAGTCGACGTGTATGGTCTGAGTTAGGTTAGGAAGAAAAATCATAAAATTAGTGTACATTAAGTCTTTAGGAGCTATTTTGCTGCAACATAGGCTATAAGTTAATATGAGTCTGTGCATGTTACTTGCTTTGATGTCTAGCAAGTTGTTGTTTTGTGAACCGGACCAACGGAGGCATAAATTATATAAAATGTCAATGCAAAATATCTACAAGAATAGCCAAACATAATTTTATATTTATTTATTTTGATTTTGGGGTGAAATAGAAACTGAACAAATAGGTCGCCTATGAACGCTATACAATTCCGTTTCCCATAGATCAAAGCGCTTTACAAGCAACAGTAATCAGATCAAAACAATAAACATCAAACACCTCACAATTTTCCGAAAAGTCAAAGTCGAAAGTCAAATCGCATTCGGAGTGAGAATATGGAGCAGCATGTGTCCGACCCAAAAGTCCAAAACAAATTCAGTAAAGATGGCATAAACTGTGTAATGCGTTGCGAAGTGGAGGCATTCTCGTCGACCCGCATCTCCCATGCCACCGCCGAGCCAACTCCAGGACCCCAAACGGGAACACACGACCATGACCAGCACCACCACACCGGCAAAGATGCAACCGCTCCGTCCGCAGCAACCGCGCAGCAAACACCGGCAGGCTGCATCAGGTGGGCAGATGAAACAAAGCAGCAGGCTTGGAACGAAGCAGACCGCGAACACAAATGAAAATTCGTCGAGATCCAAAAATGTCAGTTTTATGAGTATAAAAATAAAGAAAAACATTTAAAACAGCAAATTGACAAAATACAATCACAGCTTCAAGTGGTAGCCAAACGTGCGCAGCACTCAGTCACCGGATGTTGTCGTCATACAGTTGAGCTGAAGAATTTGTCACCCGAAACGATATTAAGTCAAACAGCAAATTGTCCAAAATTAAATTGCTCTGTGAATAAAAGATCATTACCATGGATTTCCCAATTGCATGGATTTGCTGCATGACTGATTCTCAAATGTACCTTCTTCAGAGCAATGCGATGGATAAACTAAACTGAACAAACAAATTATTATAGGGACTATTAATAAATAATAATACACTTTTTACTACCATTCTTGGATTCCACAAAGTAATTTGATTGACAATAACAAGACCATTTGTTGCCAAGATGCTGTTGACCTATTTGCTCTACTTTGAGATAACATTCTTGGAGTTGTAGGTACTGTTCATGCCTGCTCTTGTACCTGGCCAATAGTTCTTTGTCTGAGCATCATGCAGGTAACATTAATACCTTTAGGCAGAGACTGGAGTCAGAATGGTTAGATAATTGCTGGTGTTGCAGGGTCAGATCAACCTGAATATTTTGGGTAAAGTTTGTAACACTTTAGTATAGGGTCCAATTCTCACTATCAGCCCGTTGGTTATTAACATATTACTAGGATATTGGCTGTTTATTGGTACTTATAAAGCATATTGATTCCTTATTCTGCATGACCATGTTCTAAATCTCTTAATCCTATACCCAATACCTAAACTTAACATCTACCTAACTATTAATAAGCAGCTATCAGTAGCCTAGTTTATTAAGGCAAACGTCGTATTTAATAGTGATAATTGGACCCTAAACTAAAGTGTGACCAAAATGTGTTTAATCAACAGCATTTGTGGCATAACATTGATTAACACAAAAAAATCTACCTGTTCCCTTCTTTTTTTTCATAAAAAAAGTATATTCTGAAATTATAGACGTTTGCAGTGACCAAACCCCATTCTAACTTGACACTAGCAAAATCTAAATAAGTAGGTCTACTAAGGTGCTATTATTGCTTCATACTTTGTCTGCCATAAAAAACACAATATAGTCAAGGAAATAAACATTTTCTCTATTCCAAAGTTTTGCAAACTTTATCTAAATTAAAGATCAAATAAAAATCTCAATTAGCCAATAAATGGTTGATGGGGCATTGGAGACTTTAAAAGAGCTCAGTCTCTACAATATATTGCAAACAGATATCTGGCCTTAATGAGAGGATTGTTTCAAACTTAATGTAGGGTGGATTGGATTGGATATTAACACTACGTGGGTTGTATGTCTTGATTTAAAACAGTGTACACTAGCTATACTAATGCTAAATTATGGTAAACTAATTTCAGTTTCAGTATCACACACAGTAGCCTATATACAGTCAGGTCCATAAATATTGGGACATCGACACAATTATAATCTTTTCGGCTCGATACACCACCACAATGGATTTGAAAATGAAACGAACAAGATGTGCTTTAACTGCAGACTTTCAGCTTTAATTTGAGGGCATTTACATCCAAATCAGGTGAACGGTGTAGGAATCACCACAGTTTGTATATGTGCCTCCCACTTTTTAAGGGACCAAAAGTAATGGGACAGATTAACAATCATAAATAAAACTTTCACTTTTTAATACTTGGTTGCAAATCCTTTGCAGTCAATTACAGCCTGAAGTCTGGAACGCATAGACATCACCAGACGCTGGGTTTCATCCCTGGTGATGCTCACCAGGCCTCTACTGCAACTGTCTTCAGTTCCTGCTTGTTCTTGGGGCATTTTCCCTTCAGTTTTGTCTTCAGCAAGTGAAATGCATGCTCAATCGGATTCAGGTCAGGTGATTGACTTGGCCATTGCATAACATTCCACTTCTTTCCCTTAAAAAAACTCTTTGAGCTCAGCAACACCAAAAGACCCGGAAGACCACGGAAAACAACTGTGGTGGATGACCGAAGAATTCTTTCCCTGGTGAAGAAAACACCCTTCACAACAGTTGGCCAGATCAAGAACACTCTCCAGGAGGTAGGTGTTTGTGTGTCAAAGTCAACAATCAAGAGAAGACTTCACCAGAGTGAATACAGAGGGTTCACCACAAGATGTAAACCATTGGTGAGCCTCAAAAACAGTAAGGCCAGATTAGAGTTTGCCAAACAACATCTAAAAAAGCCTTCACAATTCTGGAACAACATCCTATGGACAGATGAGACAAAGATCAACTTGTGAGTGAGTGATGGGAAGAGAAGAGTATGGAGAAGGAAAGGAACTGCTCATGAAAGCATACCACCTCATCAGTGAAGCATGGTGGTGGTAGTGTCATGGCGTGGGCATGTATGGCTGCCAATGAAACTGGTTCTCTTGTATTTATTGATGATGTGACTGCTGACAAAAGCAGCAGGATGAATTCTGAAGTGTTTCGGGCAATATTATCTGCTCATATTCAGCCAAATGCTTCAGAACTCATTGGATGGACAATGACCCGAAGCATACTGCGAAAGCAACCAGAGAGTTTTTTTAAGGGAAAGAAGTGGAATGTTATGCAATGGCCAAGTCAATCACCTGACCTGAATCCGATTGAGCATGCATTTCACTTGCTGAAGACAAAACTGAAGGGAAAATGCCCCAAGAACAAGCAGGAACTGAAGACAGTTGCAGTAGAGGCCTGGTGAGCATCACCAGGGATGAAACCCAGCGTCTGGTGATGTCTATGCGTTCCAGACTTCAGGCTGTAATTGACTGCAAAGGATTTGCAACCAAGTATTAAAAAGTGAAAGTTTGATTTATGATTATTAATCTGTCCCATTACTTTTGGTCCCTTAAAAAGTGGGAGGCACATATACAAACTGTTGTAATTCCTACACCGTTCACCTGATTTGGATGTAAATGCCCTCAAATTAAAGCTGAAAGTCTGCAGTTAAAGCACATTTTGTTCGTTTCATTTCAAATCCATTGTGGTGGTGTATAGAGCCGAAAAGATTAGAATTGTGCCAATGTCCCAATATTTATGGACCTGACTGTATGTGCAAACAACCCAAAATTAAATCAATTCATAAATAATGGAAACGAAGACACCTCTTTTAATGCCAGTATTTATTTCTATCTTTTTTTATTATTTACAAAATATGTACACATTTTAGGACAAAGATATAAATGTTAGCTTCCCAGTTAATAAAAAATAACCACTGATAACCCATTAAATCCCATTAAAGGGTTATTCACCCAAAAATGAAAATGATCCCACAATTTACTCACACTCAAGCCATCCAGGTGTAGGCCTATGACTTTTTTCTTTCAGCCACACAATCGAAGTTATAATAAAAAATATCCTGGCTCTTCCAAGCTTTATAATGGAAGTGAGTATCGCCTGATATTTTTAAGATTTATCCATGGCTCCAGGGGGTTAATAAAGGCCTTCTGAACGATGCAATATAACTGATTGTGTTGGCTGAAAGAAGAATATACACCTAGGATGGCTTGAGGGTGAGTAAATTATGGGATCATGTTCATTTTTGGAACTATTCCTTTAAGCCTTTTACTTATTTAACAAATGTATGTCCACCAGGTTAATAGTCATAGTGAACACAACCTTATGAGATACATCACCTAATTCAGCTTGTTTTTTTGTTTTCTCTCTGTCTCTCTTTTTTTTTTTTTTTTTTTTAGATTGACTAAAAGAACATAATCTGTGAGAGGTTCAAAAGTCTATGCTGGAGATACAGAGGACACCTCCGTCTTGCTGGTGGATACAGTTGAGGACTCGTCATCGCCAAGAGGATTCTTTCCACAGAAAATAGTGGTCAGCATGCAGTTCCTGAACTGAAAAAGACAATGTTTCGTTTAGTACACTTTTGGGGACATTTGCCACTCTTTAATAACTGAGGGAGTAGATAGGGAATGGGATGTGTAGGATGTTACTTTCCATTCCAGCAAGTCTGATATATGATTTACCTGTTTGTTTAGCAGCACATAAATTATAGGATTAAATATGGATGAGCTCTTCGAGAAAAAGGCAGGAACAGCCATGAACTGGGCACTGAAAGCAGCTCCCCTATTCATGAAAATCCAAGCAGCAACAGTGGCATAAGGGGTCCAAGCCACCAGGAAACCCAAAACCATCAGGATGACCATTTTTGTCACTTCTCTCTCAGCCTTCTGGGTGGATGCTGAGTCCTGCTGTTGAGCTGCAGCCTAAGAGAGCAAAGCAGACAATGTTTAACATAATATTCCAATAGTTGAGAATTTGCAGGAATGTTTAAAGTGACATTTCATACCGCCTTGACGGTGCAAACAAGTCGCCCATAGGTGAAGAAGATTATGGTGACCGGACATATAAAATGGCAGGTGAACATGTAAACAACATATGATTCATTGTTGTATTCAGGGTTCAGAGTGTAGTAGTCTGGTCCACATGAACACTGCATTCCCTCAGGAATATATCTGTTAAAGAAAAGCACCTGAAATTTAGATTACTCTCTTCTCGTTTAAAATACCAAGAGAATGTTATTTCTGCCATAAAAGTTCCAAAAGTCCATGTGTTCAGTTGGGAAAAGTACATTTTACAGTCATAAATTTAAAGTAAGCTAATATTCTTGTATATTGACAAAATAAAATAAAAAGTCTCATATTCAGCTGAAATGTTTGTTGTACTCACTTCTACACTACAATGGAGAACTAATTAATTGCAGAATGTCTTATTAGACCAACCTGGACCAGCCAACCAGAGGGGGAGCCGCGCATGACATGGCCATTACCCATGTAAATCCAATTCCTGACAAAGCGTGGGTGGTTGAGAATTTGAAACTACCCATTGGCTTGCAAACCACAATGTATCTTTCAATGGCCAGCACCACAAGTGACCAAAGAGCAACTTGTCCTGTGTAGCAAATAAAATATTAAAATCAATTGCACCCAAAATACAGTATAGCTAACTATACCTAGTGACCAAACCAATCCAGAAACATTTTCTATAATTATTTCATAATTCATTTCATTATTATTTTCTCTCACCTCCAAGTGTGGCCATGAAGCCCTCAACGGCGCAGGCAGTTGGACCCAGAACAAAGTAGCCGTTAATTGCTGTGTAGAAAGTGACCGTGAATCCAAAACAAACCATGATGGTACCAGCCACAGCCAGGTTGACCAAAATGAAGTTGAGAGGTTGCCTGAGCTTTTTGTGTTGAGCTGTAACCAACAATGTAAGGCCATTGATGGGAAAACCCAAGCAGATGAGGAAGAACATGTACACTGCAAGGATTTTAAACTGCCACGGCTCAGCAAGATAATACTGCGGATACTCGTAAGGACTCCTCGCTAGCCCTGTCCTGTTGGACATGGGGATGTAGAAGTTGTTTCCCTCAGTGCCATTCATTTTTGCCTACCAGTGATCCAGACCTGGAAGAGGATGCGATCTGCTGTGTTGGATCTGCTCTTTATTTGCAAAGGTGCATCAGGTGTGTTTATATATCCCTCTGTGGTTCCTTATAAGGGATAAATCCAGGAGCGTAAGATAGGGAGGGTGTTACAATGTGGGATTTGAATGATAAGAGCAGACATAATCACTTTTGTGTTAATCACCCGGTGAAGCTTTGGATCTTTACTCTATTTTGATGTTTGAGATTCTTGTATTAAAGAAATTATATCGTTTGTCAGTACAGAGTGAGTATACACAACTTTAATTTAAAAAATGTGATTGTTGTATGATGTTTTGTTATTTCTTATACACACTATACACTTGTTTCCTTATTAGGGATAATAACACACTTAAAGGGGATTTCCTGTCAGATTAAGATATTTATTAAGATAAAATCCCATAATTTTATGTTAGTTTGTCGGGGAGGTTAGAGTCCTTAAGGTCTCATAGTTGTGCTAAGCACTTGTTCTGTGACATCTTGTATTACAAAGTTCATGACAATGAGGTTGATGGATGATTAATTCAAAGATTACTTGGATTAATTACAATTAAAAGTCACTCCAATGAGATTTATGGGATGTTGCCATCAGAGTGCGAAAATAGCCAGGTCATGATCAAATGACTCCAGATGATTTAGCCCTTCTTTTTTTTTCTCAAAATGTTGGAATATGATTATCTAAGAATAACTCAAAATCAAAACCAAAGTTATTTTAATTAAAGGAGAAGTTTAAGAGTGAATAAATACTTTTAAATAGGTAATTGTTTAAAATAAGATGAAGGGTTCACAAACAATGGAGAATGTAGTTTTCTTTTATTTTCTTTAATATTTATTTATCTTTTATTATTATATATTTTCATTCGATTCTGATTTCACATTTCACACATCTGTAGTCATCATTTAGCATATGCATTTCATTCAAATCCCTTTATATAAAACAGAATATAAATCACTAAATGAATTGCAAGCTCCACATCCAATCCAGTTAAATTCAATTAAATGTCATGTTTTAGGTTTAGTTTGAGAATGAATTGTCTTTTGATCTCAATTTGTAGCTTTATGTTTGTAGATCTTAACATGGTTACCATCAGTCATCAATTAGACACACACAAAACACCAAAAACAACGTTTGTATGCATGTATTTATTATTCTATGTTTCAATATGTATAACATTTAGAAAATATATACATAAAAAGCTGACAAAGCAGCTAAAAACAAAAATAATGAAATGAATAGAATAGTGCATCGTGTCATTGACTTAGTTCTGTATATTATTATGCTTCTCACTGAACCCTTGGGTGGTTTTAAGCAGTTCTGGTCATGACCTTCTGATGTGATGATGTCAAGAAAAGAGGCTTATGCTTAGATTTAGTGGTGAGCTATACTTTGTGTTGAAGCATTGGTAGAGAGACATGAGATAAACCATGAGTTGAGCATTGCGCAAACTAATCTACCCATGCTCTTTTTATTGAAGAGAAAAGAGGCTAAATGTGACATATATCTCCGCATTAACAAAGTAGGGTCAGGGTAAAAGTCTTCTTTAAACTAAAATGTTCCAAGGCAGAGAGAGAAGAGGTACATGGCCCAACTGGATGATAATTACAGAGATTTTCAAAGCATTACAGAAACTGATCCATGGAGACTTGTGCTTGTTGAAGACAGTGGACTCAAAAACATTGAGAAAACGTAGTTGGCAAATAATTCTATGCAGGAGACACTGAGGACACCTCTGTTTTGCTCGTTGACACCGAGGACTCCTCATCACCAAGAGGGCTCTTGCCACAGAAAAGGGTGTTCAACATGCAGCTACGGAACTGAGGATAAGAAAGAGGAATAACGCTAGAATTGAATGCTAGCCATTTCATTCCATTTACTTCTTCATAGTGCAGTCATACTATCTCAAGGTTAACAAAATGGTCTCAGACTAAAAGAATGGTTTGTAATTTATTCATTCATGGATGAAAGCATGCCTTAAAAGTCCAATGTTGCTCACCTGTTTGTTGAGAAGCACATATATGACGGGGTTAAACAAGGCTGAAGTCTTGGAGAAAAAGGCAGGAATAGCCATAGATTGTGCCGAGAAGGCAGCCCCCCTGTTTAAAAAGATCCAGGCAGCAAAGCTAGCATAGGGAACCCAAGCAAACAAGAAGCCCAAAACCATCAGGATGACCATACGTGTCACTTCCTTCTCAGCTTTCTGGGTGGATGCTGAGTCCTGCTGTTGAGCTGCGGCCTGAAAGAATAATATTTTAAATATTTAATAAATGCAATGTTTACATATTTTGATTATTTAAATATATTAAATATTTTTTATAAGTCAATAAATATTGCAAGTGTGTGTGGTGTGATGTGCACTCGCCGCTTTGACTGTGCAAACAAGGCTTCCATAAGTGAAAAAGATGGTTGTAACTGGAATGCAAAAATGACAGCTGAACATGTAAATGACATAGGATTCATTGTTGAATTCTGGGTTCAGGGTATAATAATCCGGTCCACAGGAAATTTGCATTCCCTCTGGGATGTATCTGTATTGAAACAATGAAATAATTAGTTAAAACAACTTAATAATTTAGTTGACATCAATCAATTGGTTAAACATTATATACTATTTGTTAATAACTTTGAAAGTTAATGTGAGAATTGTTTTATTACTATTTGAGCCTTAATCTCTTTTCCACTGATTACAAGTCTCTAATGAGCATGAGCGACTTACCTGGACCAGCCCAAAAGTGGGGGCACTGCACAGCTACTGGCCATAACCCATGTGAAAACGATGCCTGTTATTGCATGGTTTGAGGAGAATTTGAAGCTCCCCATTGGCTTGCACACCACGATGTACCTTTCAACTGCAAGCACCACCAGAGACCAAAGAGAAACCTGGCCTGTAGACAAAAAAGAAAATGAGTCAACATGGAATCCCAAACAACAAAACATATTAATCAATGCTGAAATCTTACCACCAACTGTAGCAAAGAAGCCTTCAATAGCACAACCTGTGGGACCCAGAGCCATATAACCAGCAATGGAGCAGTAGAATGTAACCGTGAATCCAAAAAGGGCCATAATTGTTCCAGCGAAAGCCAGGTTTACCAAAATAAAATTTAGAGGTTGCCTCAACTTTTTGTGCTGGGCTGTGACCAACAGCGTCAGCACATTGATCGGTAGCCCAAAGCAAATCAGCAAAAACATATAAAAAGCAAGTGCCTTAAATTGCCATGGATCTGCCAGGTAATACTGCGTATATTCATAAGGACTCCTCACTAGCCCTGTCCTGTTGGACATAGGAATGTAAAAGTTGTTTCCCTCAGTGCCGTTCATCCTGCTGCGGAGGAGCCAAGAGCAGAGGTGTTGCAAGCTTGCCAAGAGGACACCAGCAAAAGTGTACTCCACAAACACTTCCAGGCACCTGCTTTTATACCTTTAGCAGAGTTCCCAATTAAAAGAGGTGTCACCATTAAGAAGATTTGGCGGATACCAGACTTCATAACCAACTGGAACGCATCTACTTGGCTCATTACCAGGATTGATATGATATCCATCCCCTCTCATGGGGATTAGGTTTCAAATCTTTGACCGTGTAATCTTTCTTGTAAGTAGGAGGCTGACAGGGATTATCTGTGGAATGGGCTGCATACAGCACTCACATTTTCACATGCCCCTATATGCACACTTGAATCCTGGACGTGTTTGAACACCACAGTCAAGAGTAAACCGGAATAACAACTATTGACATTGGAAAGAATTGACTGTGACAATGTAGAATCAAACAATTGATCTACTGCAGTGATGCCAAGAGGATGGTCTTTATTTTTGAAATAACTGACTGGATTTTGTTACTGAATTACTAAAGGAGGGAAAACTAAGTATTAATCTATTTGCACTTATTTTATACCTACGCATAAATTGTAGATACTGTTTTAAAGCAGCTCACGAGTGCACAAATAGCATGAAGCTTATACTTCATGAAAACTTGAGGAAAATATCTATGTATTTAGTATATATTAAGGAAAGAAAAGGAAGCAAACTATAAGTATATACACACACACATATATATATATAAATATATATATATATATATATATACACTCTTCCATGAAGAACCTTTAACATCCGTGGAATCTTTCTATTGCACAAAGGGTTTTTTATAGTGGAAAAGGGGTTCTTTAGATTATTAAAAATGTGCTTCACACTTAGAAAAATATGGTTCTATTAAGAACTGATCACTGAAAGGTTGATATATCTTCATTAGAAAGGGCAGAATATATATATTTTTTACATTTATGTTAAGTTCTTTAAAAAAATAGTAACCAGTCAAAACAAGGACAATAAACAATAACACAAATTTTGAATGAATGCTTTTATTTAAATATACTAAGCAGTTTATAAAATATTTACAGAAACTGACCTGATCAAGCCAGAAAATTTCATGAAGTACAGACAATAGAATGACAAAAAATATATATAATAATGACCTCATTCAGAACACAGAACAGAAATTATATTGGTACATATTGGTGGACAGGATATTGTGCAAAACACTTTGCAGGTGAGTTCAAATATTTTTTATTGAAAAAAAATCCACCTAATTAGAGGAGTAGATTAATCCACAAATCCAGTAAATATAACATAAATATTTTTCTTTAACTTCAGAACCAGTCATTATTGAATTATATTTATTAAATGCCATAAAATGGATGTGTATGGTCTTGAAAAAAAATAGCAGTTACAGAGTCTGTTACAAAGCCCATTTAGCCATTTGGTCAGCGATATGCTGCATGTCTGTGAACTCATTCCATTTGTATGATGGCGCACAGAGTATAGGCAGATAGGAGGATTAATCTATGCCGGAGACACGGAGGAGACCTCTGTTTTGCTCGTTGACACCGAGGACTCCTCATCACCAAGAGGGCTCTTGCCACAGAAAAGGGTGTTCAGCATGCAGCTACGGAACTGTGAATGAGATGGGAAACTGAATTCATTCCATATTTAAAGTGCAAAGGGAATCCTTACAACATACATTACAACAATATTAACATATTTAATACTTTAAACTTCTTTTTACTTTTTAATCTGTGGAAGTAATATGCTGTGAAAACATATTGTAAAATAACTTATTGTAAAATAAATATTGTTCTGTGAAAACATTACTCACCTGTTTGTTTAGAAGCACATATATGACGGGGTTAAACAAGGCTGAAGTCTTGGAGAAAAAGGCAGGAATAGCCATAGATTGTGCCGAGAAGGCAGCCCCCCTGTTGAAAAAGATCCAGGCAGCAAAGCTAGCATAGGGAACCCAAGCCAACAAGAAGCCCAAAACCATCATGATGACCATACGTGTCACTTCCTTCTCAGCTTTCTGGGTGGACGCTGAGTCCTGCTGTTGAGCTGCAGCCTGAAATTTATGAAGAACCAGTTAGGGATGCAGTGTGACCATCTAGTATATGTGGAAAAGATTTTTAAGCATTGATGATTTAAACTTATACATACAGCCTTGACTGTGCAGACCAGATTGCCATAGGTAAAGAAAATCGTGGTTACAGGTATACAAAAATGGCAGCTGAACATGTACATGACGTAAGATTCATTGTTAAATTCAGGATTCAACGTGTAGTAATCTGGTCCACATGAAGTCTGCATCCCCTCTGGTATATACCTGAAAGAACAGCACTGATACTAAGCAACAGTAAGCAGATCAAAGTAGACTTCAAGTCATTCTGCAAACTGTTTCAGTGCAATTACCTGGACCAGCCCACAAGTGGGGGCACTGCACAGCTACAGGCCATAACCCACGTGAAAGCGATGCCTGCTATCGCATGGTTTGAAGAAAATTTGAAGCTCCCCATTGGTTTGCACACCACGATGTACCTTTCAACTGCAAGCACCACCAGAGACCAAAGAGAGACTTGACCTATTGACAGGAATTAGAAGTTAGTCCACTGGAATGCACCGTTTTAAAAAGGCATCCAAATGGATTGTTAGTCATCCCTTACCTCCAATTGTTGCAAAAAAACCCTCCATTACGCAGCCAAGCGGACCTAGAGCCATGTAGCCCACAAGTGAGCAGTAGAAAGAAACTGTAAATCCAAAGATGGCCATAATTGTGCCGGCAAAAGCCAAGTTGACCAAAATGTAGTTGAGTGGCTGCCGAAGTTTCTTGTGTTGAGCTGTAACCACCAAGGTTAGAGCATTGATGGGTAATCCAAAAATGATCAGTAGAAACATGTAGAAAGACAGAGCCTTGAATTTCCATGGTTCTGCTAAATAGTACTGGGTGTACTCAAAAGGATTTCTCACAAGCCCAGTCCTATTGGACATGGGAATGTAGAAGTTACTCCCTTCTGTCCCATTCATTCTGCCCTCGTTTAAATTAAATCTAAAGTTAAAATATGAACAGCTGCTAACTCAAGAGATGGTCAACCCCAAGTGGACAGCAACAGGCATGCTTATATACTCTTCCAAGGAGACCAAAACTGGAACCGGGTGTTACCAATAAGATTATTTGGCTCAGATCAAAGTTCATAACAGCCACAGATTGGACCTTGGGGCTTGTCCCTCCCTTTAAGCATGATATCCATCTCTTCCTACAAGGATTAGTTTTTAGCTTTGCGCAACTCTTAAGCAGCATCTTAAGCCACTGAGGTAAGCTGAAAGTCCAAGTGTGCTCACAATTCTTCATCTCATTCATGCGACTTCCACCTCCTCAAGCTTTCATACACTACAAGTTCCTTGAATGCCTTAAATCTTTCATTTGAAATCTTAGTCCATTTAAAAAAAAAAAGAAGATATTACTGAATATCGTTCATCATGTTTACGCATCTACACATCTATTAGACTGAAAAGGCAGTCAGAAAATCAGTTTAAGAATGGCTTCATGAACTGACATGTAAATGGATTTATAATAATTTGTTTGCCAACATGCAATTATCCAGTTGGGAAATTCATTATAAGAGGATTTTGGAGAAGACAGAATTCCAGGCATTATTTTTTTTTTTGTTCTTCTTTCAAGCCACCTATAACCTAACCAAATTACTGTGTATGCTATCTTAAAATATTAAGAGAAAGAAAACAAGAGTTCAATGTTCTTTTTGCAAGCATGCATTTATTTATTTATACAGCTATTTAATACAAGTATTCAAAGAATATTTACATAACAATGTGTGTATGTGATGAATGTGCATATGAACAGAAAAATAAAACTTTTTAAGATCCATCAGAATAAAGATATGAAGTTCTAGAATTGGTAACAGATGTTTACTTAGGAAACGTTTGAGATTTGTATGGCTTTTAAAACTGTAAAAATTCTTAAAAATATTAATACATGCAAATAAATCAACCTATATATTTGACAGAATGTTTGGTGTTTTTTTTATTGCTTTTTTTTTTTTAGTTAAGATGGGGAAACATACATAAACCAGCCAAGCCGTTTATAACAACAATGATGAGCAGAGTTGGTGAGTTTAAGTTTGAAATTCACTGAAGAGAAGGAATAGATAAATATCCACATGCTTCATAAATACATCTTTACAAGACCGATCTTCATTGTTTCAGCAGGACTTTGCAGAGGCAGAGAGGCGCGTTTATGCTGGAGAAACTGAGGACACTTCTGTTTTACTGGTGGACACGCTTGAGGACTCCTCATCTCCTAGAGGATTCTTTCCACAGAAGAGGGTGGTTAACATGCAGCTACGGAACTGAAAAGAAACACAGAATCATTCATGAGCACATGAACATAAAATGATTCCAGGCTTCAGCTAAGACATAATTTAAGAGCTCGTACCTGTTTGTTGAGCAGCACATATATGATGGGATTAAACAATGCAGAGCTTTTGGAAAAAAAGGAAGGGATTGCAAAGCCTTGTGCCGAGAAGGCAGCCCCTCTGTTTAAAAAGATCCAGGCAGCAAAGCTAGCATAGGGAACCCAAGCTACCAAGAAGCCCAAAACCATCATGATGACCATACGTGTCACTTCCTTCTCAGCTTTCTGGGTGGATGCTGAGTCCTGCTGTTGAGCTGCAGCCTAAAGATTTGATGAAAACCAGAATAGTGATACAATATTGTTCATGACAGTATTGAAATGTAAATGGACTAAGCAAACTTACAGCTTTGACCGTGCAGACAAGATTTCCGTAGGTGAAGAAGATTGTAGTGACAGGTATACAAAAATGGCAGGTGAACATGTAAAGGAGATATGATTCATTATTGTACAACGGATTAAGGGTGTAGTAATCTGGTCCACATGATGTCTGGATACCTTCAGGAATATATCTGCGTTAACAAAAAATGTTAGAAGATTTTAGCTCATTTAAGTTTCCCAAATATTTATAATCACAATAAGAAACTTCCTATGCGGTACAATATCTAGTAATTGGATTAAAGAGATTTACCTGGACCAGCCTAAAAGTGGGGGCACAGCACAACTGCTGGCCATGATCCATGTGAAAATAATGCCCGCCAATGCGTGGTTTGAAGAAAACTTGAAGCTTCCCATTGGCTTACACACAACAATGTACCTCTCAACAGCGAGCACCACCAGAGACCAAAGAGAGACTTGACCTGTTAGTACAGGACGAGAGAGTAAAGTTAACAGTATATCACAGTTCTTCGGACCAAATTGGTTTTCTTTGCTTCTTACCACCAAGTGTTGCAAAAAATCCCTCTAACATGCAACCAGTGGGCCCAACTGCCATATAGCCAACGCACGAGGAGTAGAAAGAAACCGTGAATCCAAAAACGCCCATAATTGAGCCGGCAAGAGCCAAGTTGACCAAAATGTAGTTGAGCGGCTGTCTGAGTTTCTTGTGTTGAGCTGTAACCAGCAATGTGAGCCCGTTGATAGGTAAACCAAAAATGATCAGTAAAAACATGTAGAAACCCAAAGCCTTGAATTTCCATGGTTCTGCTAAATAGTACTGGGTGTACTCAAAAGGATTCCTGACGAGCCCAGTCCTATTGGACATTGGGATGTAAAAGCTATCACCCTCTGTGCCATTCATCCTCAAACAGAAAAGTTCAAACTTGAACCAGAAGAGTCCAGTATGACAAGTTAAGCTACAACACTCATCTGCGTCCTTATATACTTTTCTCAGGTGAAACATTAGGCCATGAGGAGGGCTTTCCAGTGGCCAGTAAGGAGATTTGTCTACGGTCTTAAAAAAAGTTATGACCTTACCTCCTGTTGAACCTTCTTTTTGATATGATATCCATCACCTCCTGCTCAGATTAGTTGGAAGGATTAGAAAGGTTCTAAGTGGCACTCTGAGCAAGCATAGCATACTCATCTGATAATACGCTGTCTTAGTATGTCATGATCCTGTTCAAGTGCAAACACAGTACAGTTCAACCTAATAATTGATTTTAAATGTTTTCTTCTCTTTCCAAAAAGTTAAAAATGTTACTATTTCACAGAAATATTATTTTATCACACAACTTTTCAAAGAAATTCGTCAGTGTTGTTTATACCTCTTTTTGCGGCACCATTACTTGAATGAGCTACCACTTTGTTTTGCACACTTATCTGTTATAACAGTTTCTCTGCACAAAACTACATGCCGAATATATAACGTTTGGGTCTATAAAAACGGCTTAAGGTGCCTATATCTAAACCACACACATTCTTGATTTGAATTTTGAAATCCTAAAATCAAAACGTAGCTTAGAAGCTCAGGCTACGCCCATACCATTTTTGCTTTACGTCCACACTGAGACTCTCCTACTCCTCTCCTACTCCTTCTCCTACTGAAGAAGCTCTCCTAAGCGGATACAATTTGAAAACACTGTTTTCCCGTTGACTGTGAAAACTAGGGTATCCGAAAACAATGATGCATGTTTAGTCATGTGATGCATATTGTATCAAACTGTCATATTTATGGTTGTACCAGCATGTGCGTTCCAGACCATACATGGAATGGTGATTTTGAGTGCAACCTGCTGCAAACAAGTGAGTGGTGGGATATTTTGCTAAAAAAATGTATTTTATTATATCTTATGCGTGCAAAGTAAGGTGATTTAAGCGTTTTCAGAATTTAAGTGTGAATAAGCAACTTTTGGAAAACACTACTCACAGTACTCTGGGTTCGGGCCGAATTCCGAGCTCGGAGCACTCCCCCCGGACAGCACGCCAAATACGCATTAAACTTTACTCCCTCTAATTGTAAGTGTGAACTCGTGAAATCTACATTTATTAACATCTGGAATCCATTCCTAACTCATCTTCATAAAAATCTGACACCTGAAACCCGGTCCCACGCACTCACACACTCACCCAACCACATTTCCACAAACTTATTTTAAATGCGTCTCTATAGCATGCATTGTATTTATTGTGCAATTTATATACAAAAAACATTTTTTTGCGTGCAAATAACACACACACTGTAAACCCCTTGGGTAGGATTAGTGGTGTGGGGTACGTGCATATTATACGCGTGGGTAGAATTAGTGGTGTGGGGTACGTGTATTACACGCCATACAGTGCGTATCATATGCACGCAAAACTCCGTATCATATGCACATAAAAACTAATGTTTGCATATCAATTGCACGATAAATACAATGCGTGCTATAGAGACACATTTCATGAGATCAGGCTGGTTACACACAATATCCTTTCATGACTATGACTGTAAATAATTCAGTTTGCTGTACCTGCATATATATCTTCATCTTGATACAAAGATAATTTTTATAAAAAAAAAAAAAAAAAAGTGTGTATACGTATATACATATAAAGTATTTGATGCACTGCCGATTTTGCAGGTTTTCCCACTTACAAAGCATGTAGAAGTCTGTGATTTTTATCATAGGTACTCTTCAACTGTGAGTGACGGAATCTAAAACAAAAATCCAGAAATCACGTTGTGTGATTTTTAACTAATTCATTTGCATTTTATTGCATGACATAAGTATTTGATCACCTACCAACCAGTAAGAATTCAGGCTCTCACAGACCTGTTAGTTTCTCTTTAAGAAGCCCTCCTGTTCTCCATTCATTACCTGTATTAACTGCACCTGTTTGAACCCGTTACCTGTATACAAGACACCTGTCCACACACTCAAACAGTCAAACAACAGTCATCAATCAAACAGACTCCAACCTCTCCACAATGGCCAAGATCAGAGAGCTGTGTGAGGACATCAGATAAAATTGTAGACCTGCACAAGGCTGGGATGGGCAACAGGACAATAGGCAAGCAGCTTGGTGAGAAGACAACAACAGTTGGCGCAATCTTTAGAAAATAGAAGTTCAAGATGACGGTCAATCTCCCTCTGTCTGGGGCTCCATGCAAGATCTCACCTCGTGGGGCATCAATGATCATGAGGAAGGTGAGGGATCAGCCCAGAACTACATGGCAGGACCTGGTCAATGACCTGAAGAGAGCTGGGACCACAGTCTCAAAGAAAACTATTAGTAACACTATGCCGTCAAGGAATAAAATCCTGCAGCGCACGCAAGGTCCTCCTGCTCAAGCCAGCGCATGTCCAGGCCCGTCTGAAGTTTGCCAATGACCATCTGGATGATCCAGAGGAGGAATGGGAGAAGGTCATGTGGTCTGATGAGACAAAAAGAGAGCTTTTTGGTCTAAACTCCACTCGCCGTGTTTGGAGGAAGAATGATGAGTACAACCCCAGGAACACCATCCCAACCGTGAAGCATGGAGGCGGAAACATCATTCTTTGGGGATGCTTTTCTGCAAAGGGGACAGGACAACTGCACCATATTGAGGGGAGGATGGATGGGGCCATGTATCACGAGATCTTGGAACGCACAGCCAGGGCAACTAAGGAGTGGCTCCATAAGAAGCATCTCAAGGTCCTGGAGTGGCCTAGCCAGTCTCCAGACCTGAACCCAATAGAAAATCTATGGAGGGAGCTGAAAGTCCGCATTGCCAAGCGACAGCCCCTGCTGCAGTGTGTGCAAACCTGGTCAAGAACAGGAAACGTATGATCTCTGTAATTGCAAACAAAGGTTTCTGTACCAAATATTAAGGTCTGCTTTTCTGATGTATCAAATACTTCTGTCATACAATAAAATGAAAATGAAATTACTTAAATTATACAATGTGATTTTCTGGATATTTGTTTTAGATTCTGTCACTCACAGTTGAAGAGTACCAATGATAAAAATTACAGACTTTTACATGCTTTGTAAGTGGGAAAACCTGCAAAATCGGCAGTGTATCAAATACTTGTTCTCCCCACTGTACATCTGTTTCAAATTCATCAGAAAAATAAGTTCTTGGTGCGCATCGTTATTATTTTATTCTTCAGCCTACTTAACTTTATTACTTCATTTGCTGGTTAATGGGTGCGGTTTACTAATCAGGCACCCATTGGAACAGGGATGATAGCAGGTTTGATTTGTTCAGGGGATGTTTGAGTGTTTGTTTAGCCTGCAAGCTCTATGCAGAGGCAAACAAATGCTGAAAATGAGGTAATAGGTTTAGAGTCTTGTTTGGGATTCTGCTCACTAGGGATGCACAAAGATTAGCCAGTCCTTCTCAACTTGAATACAAACTCTAGTCCCAAAGCCTACAGTAGTCCTGGCCGATTGGCTGGATGACAGACTGGCTGAATAACAAATTAGACTGAATACATAAATTTAGTAGTATCTAAAGGTATGTCCACATTAAATTTGAAAATGCATATTTTATGTACATTTTGGCCTTCTGTCTACATTGAGACGCCATTTGTGTCCAGCTTTTTAAAATCACTCTCCCAAGTAAAGTGAATACATTTGAAAACACTGTACACATTATAGTGTGGACAGGAAGGTGTTTGGTATTCAAAAAGTGATCATCTAACACAGACATGTGATCCATTCAACCCCAAACAGTTGGCAGCCCATTTTGTATACCCATTTCTTGGGTGTTGTTAAAGGTAAATGTTACTTTGTACAATCTTCATATTATATTCCTGCAAATATGTCTGAAAACAGGGGGACGACTGAAGGAGAAGGAGATGAGGTGGATGGATCCACAGGTGCAGACTGAGAGCCGGTGGAAACTAACGCCATCGCTGGTAATGTAGACCGTGGCGACGGTTGTCGAAGGCGGAGCCAGAGTATCTGAGGGCTGAGGTGGAGCCGGTGTGATGGAGGACAGAAGCGACGACGAGGATCCTTAACTTTTTAACAAACAGGACGCAAAGAGTGAGAGTGAATGGCAGTCTCTCTGACAAAGTCTGTTCATCAACCGGCTCCCCAAGGATGCGTACTCTCACCTCTTCTTTACATCCTGAACACAAATATGTGCCAGAGCAGGTGGGAAAACAGGACCATAATTAAATACCCAGATGACTCAGTAATTGTTAGCCTGCTCCAAGACATTGAAACAGGTCATGGTCCAGTCATAAATGATTTTGTTGAATGGTGTGAGGGATCTCACCTTCAACTAAATGTAGCCAAAACAAAGGACATGCTCACTGATTTTAGGGAAAAAATCCAAACACAAGAAATTACATCAATCAAAGGTCAAACTGTTAAATGTGTGCAATCGTATAAATACCTGGGGACAATAATAGACTCAAAACTCACATTTGAAACTAACTGTGAAGTTGTGTGCAAAAAAGGGCATCAGCGCCTGTTCTGTTTGAGAAAACTGAGTCGTTTTCATATTAACAAATCCATCATGTCCCTCTTTTACCACGCTTTTATTGAATCAGTTTTATCATTTGCGCTAGCAGCATGGTTTGGGAACCTCTCTTTGAAAAATAAAAACTCACTCAACCAGTAAAGTGGTCTAGCAGGCTGATTGGTGAGCCACAGCTCAATGTGGAGACCTTGTACACAAAACAGTTACAGCGCATAACTGGTTTAATCTTAAACGACAGTTCCCATCCATTGCACACAGAGTTTCAGCTTCTACCCTCTGGGCATAGGTTTATAATCCCTAGGTGTAGAACAAAAAGACACAAAAACAGTTTTTTCTTGCAGCCATTACACTTGAGGAATAAGTCATAATAACTATACTTTGCACAGGTGTTTTATTGTTGCTTTTATGTATGTTTTAATCTATTCTGGACCGATAAGAACTTTTTATTTTTAAATTAAATTTGTCATTTCCTAATTTTTACTGTCTTAAGTTTGAATGATGTGTGAAATGTGTCCTCTTTGTTTTTCCATATGTGTGTATGAGGACTCTACAGCAAACAAAATCTACCTTCGGGTACAAATAAAGTAACTTGAACTTGAACTTTGAGCAGGAGGAGGATGAGGGAACCTGGTGGAGCCGAAGGTGAGAGGAGCCAAGACGGAGCAGACAGGTCAAGATGGAGAAAAGAGTTCAAAGGCCAGAGGCGGCGCCGCAGGATCCTCTCGCATGGGCGCTGCAGGTGGATGCACAACCTTTGGCTCGATGTCACAGGGACTCGCCGGCAGACATCCGGCAGTGGCGGGACTGGAGGACTGGCTGAGCTTCGTGGTGCAGCAACACATGACAGAAAAACAGT